CCGCCAGTGGTTCTTGGTTGACCCCCCCCTCCCCCCAAAACAACACAACAGATTGAGCCTCGCTGTTCACCAGCAAGCGGACTCAACAACGTCCCAATGACTGATATCTGACGCAAACCGCTGCTTCCCAATGACGTTGTGCTTGTATTCAAAGTACGGCAACGCAAGTTCATCCCCGTGATGCTGCCTGCTGTTAAACCCAGCAGCAACGCTGATCCTCGCGTCATCCTGCTTAAGCACTCGTTGCACCAGCAAGGGCAGCATATGTGCACGGGCAGGCCACCCCACACAGTTGGCAGCCTGCAACAGACGATTTGTAAGCATCACTGCCGCCTAGGACCTGTGGGCCCCACTGGAAATTGTGCCCACCAAATCCGTACATCATCGCTGTACCGCACACAATGTGCGTGTGGCAGAAACCTCTTGGGACGGTCCCATAAAGCCTTGCCTTGCCTTCCTGAATCCCATATAATGTCACGATGCACAGGAGGCTCAATCCATTTGAGTCAAGAATGTGCTGTTGCTGCACTGGCGCTGTGATAATCCAAAGTTCGCGGTCCCTCACCATTGGCCGGGCTCTGGCTGGCCAGTGCCCCGCCCAGCCCAGTGCCGCAACCCCACCCCGAACCGTTAGCATTGCGCGCTGCACTGAAGAGATGATACTTGTGCGACATGAACGCCATCAACTCGGCCTCCCTCGAAATGCCCCTTGCAGGCGAGGGTAACTGGTTTGGACCGGGTGACACAGCCCTCACGCGAGGTTCTTCGTGTGAGACAGCATCTCAAAGAAACAGCGCTTTGAAATAGTTGCGATCGTACGCTTTGATCACTCCCTCCCACATACCCACGATCCATTCGGGCCGCTGACTTGGCTACCGTATCGGTGCTCGACCGGTGAGCGGTGCGTGGGGGTCAGCTGAGCCGGTGCCATAGCATGTTACCAGATGCTGTTGCACATATCATCCACCTGCACCAGTCGGACACTCTGTCTGGCGCCACTCTGTGCGAGCGAGGACACAGAGTCTCAGACAGCCCCCAGATCCCTGTGAAATGCAGGGCCGTGCCTGCGGGCGCTGCCGGAGTCGGGCTGCTAGAATCAAGGGGACCTGTGTGCATCGCATGTTGAGCTTTGACACCCCCCAACCACCCGCGCCCTCGCACCTGGCCACCCTGCACCATGCTTGCAGGTTACGCAAGCCCAAGCAGGTGCCACCGAGCACAGATGCCCACCATGTCGCCCCGCACCCCCCTGGCCCTGGCGTCCCTGGCGCTGCTACTGGCCACAGCGTCTGCTGCCGTCACCCCCGACGCCAAGGCCGCCGTGCTGCCTGTGGACAAGGCCGTGGCTGCTGACGTGGCCAAGGCCCTGGCTGCCCCTAGCGTGCTGGTGGTGACCACTTGGAAGCTGGACCCCGCCACAGATGCGGACAAGTGGATCGCCACCCGCCAAGGTGGGCTTCCGCGCCCGCGTGCTGGTTGTCAGCGCTGCTCTGCCCCAAGCACGTTCCGGGGCATTCGCAGTGGGCGCCCACGCCGGCGTTGGTGTCCTGGCGGCGATGCCTTGACTCCCCGCTGGCGCCGGACATGTGCGTGCTACACAGCCGCTGTTGGACCAAACGTAATCACACAGCCCTTTCTCGCTTGCTTTTCCATTGACAGCCGTGGTGGCTGCGGCCAAGAAGGCGGGCGTCAACATCAGCGTCCTCTACTTCAAGGTCTGTGTTGATTTGCAGAAGAACGACACGGATGTGCATGGCGCGAGCGCTTGCTGCAAGGCGTGATTGTGCGCCCCAGGAGCGACTGCCTGACTGTTGTCTGCCTCTGGTGTCTTGGAATGACGGCACTGTCAGCCGCTTGAAACACTGACAGGCAAAGGTTGCGGGACGCCCGCTTTTGCTCAACCTTCGACCTATTTCGCGCGCACAAACGTATTCAGGGGAGTGTCCCCGCCGCCTCCAAGATCAAGCCCGGCGAGGACTACGCTGTTGTCGGCACCATCACATCTGCCCCAACCCCGGCGGTGCGTGCTCTTGTCAATGCTCAGTAGCAGCCAGCGGGTGTGAGCAGCAGCAGGCCTGCTTTGCTGTAGGGTTTACATTGGCTGCCTGGGAAGACCCCTGCGACAGGGCAGCACCGCTCCTTGCATTTTCTATACACGTGGTAGGGCCTGTTCAGTGCGCACGCTTGCCCTGACCTTTGGCATGTGACTTCTGCGCACAGGATTACGCTGCGTGGCGCGCATTTACTGCCAAGGATGTGGCCTACGCTGCGGGCCAGAAGGCCGTCAAGAGCGTCGTGCGCGCCATCAACGTCGAGGTCTGAGAGGTCGGCACTCGGAGGAAGCCGGCTGTGTAGATGGCGGCTGTCACAAGAACAATGCTGCTGGGAACCAGAGTGTGTGCAGCCCAGCAATGCCGGTACCGTGTTCTTGAAATGACAATACTATGTCTTGATATGATGGTGCAATACTTTTGAAAAACCTTGCACCGTGCGCGCGCTGCTGGATGACAGGGCAGCAGCCTGCAATTCCCAAGCACCTGCACACGCCCCACTTGATCAGTCATTATGGTGGCCCAAGACAAAACAAATCTCCGCTACAACGTGTAGCATCTGCTCCTAATCTCAAGTCAACGCATGCCTGCCCTGTGACCCAAGGCGCCTTGCTTTTGACGCGCAGCCCCCACACTTTCTGCACACCTCACCATCAGCTGCATGTCCGTGCCTTGCTGCATGGTATTGGCCGCTCACCACGCAACACACGCTCCACACACATGGACCCCTGCTGCCTTTTCAGTGGGGTTGCACCCCCATGTGCTCCCTCCGTTGTGCCTTCCACTCAAATCAACCTGATGTAGCTGCCACACAGAGACCGGACACGTCCCCTGGAGCTGGTGTGTGTAAAAGCAATTCAGACCGCAATCTCACTTGCTGAACGAGCATGACAGCTGACAAGCAAAGCATGCGTGCTGCGCGTCGCAGAGGGTTGCCAGTGGGAGAGGTAGTTGTAGGGAAGATAGGAGGGGAGCGGCCCCATCGCGGCAACCCATCCCAGCTTCAACCCAGCAGCGTGTTGTGCGTGCACCGGGGTGCCCGGAGCAGCAGCAGCGGCTGCATCAGGTGCTGTTCGCGGCCCCTCGGCAGCTGCAGCTGCAGCTGGGACCACTCTTTTTGCAGGGGCAGGGCCTGCTGGTGTCATGGGGTGTGCACTTTCTGTAGCTGGCCACCAGCTATGCTCACGGCGGCCGTGGTGAGCATAAGCAGCTGCAGGCGTGCTGGCAGCTTCGCAGCACTGAGCTAAGTATCACAGGTGCTGACGCGCATGGTGCGTGTGGTTTTCAAGCGGCGGGGGGATGCCACTGGGGGCGCACCGCCGCGGGGGGCGAGAGTGAGCGCCGGCGGCGGGGGTGGCAAAATGATTGTGCGGGGTGTTGAATTGCATTGGGCAGGGTCTGAGAGGGCTGCGGCAGGCTGGGCTGCACGCTTTCGGCATGCACCATGGGGTGGGGTGACCCGTGAAGCCCACATCTCAATGCACGAAATTGCTGCCCACCCACACCCAGCAGCAACCGCTTTAGGGTAATTGGGGTTGGGTGGTATTAGAGCGGCGTCACACCTTCATGGGCACACCTGCTTTACTGATGAGTACAAAGGCGACGTATGCGTGCGCACCAAATAAAACGCATGCGTCCGCGGGGACTCGAACCCCGGCCTGGTCCGTGGCAGGGACCTATCATACCCCTAGACTACGGACGCTTCCGGGTGGAAAGCTTCGAACGGTGCACCATTGCAACAATTTACTATATATAATGTCCGAAATATATATTTTTCGGCTCCCGCAACCCCTGCTTGCCGCTTGTCTGCTTGCCTGCCCTGCCCACT